TTTTTTTTTTTTTTTTTTGAGATGGAGTCTCACTGTCATCAGGCTAGAGTGCTGTGGCGCAATCTCGGCTCACTGCAACCCCCCCGCTCCCGGGTTCAAGTGATTCTCCTGCCTCAGCCTCCTGAGTAGCTGGGACTACAGGCATGTGCCACCACATCCGGCTAATTTTTCTATTTTTAGTGGGTACAGGGTTTCGCCATGTTGGCCATGTTGATCTCGAACTCCTGACCTCAAGTGATTCGCCTGCCTCGGCCTCCCAAAGCCAGTAAGGGATTTGAACCTAGGCAGTCTGACTCTTAAAAGCTCAAAGACTTAAGCTCTGTCCTGAGTAGCTTCGCTGGTGTATGGTATAGGGGTCAGAAGAGAGCCTGTCTGGATGCCTAGAGGGCATCCTGCAGTGGGCATGTGTGTCTGTGATCACAGTGGAAGAGAGAGAGGAGGGGGCATCTGTGGCCAGAATGGGGAGGCCTTGAATACCAGGATGAAGAGTTTGGGCCTATGATAATGAGAATAGAAGTAGCTGCCAGTATGAAGAGTTTGGGCCTGTGGTAATGAGAATAGTAATAGGTACCAGTTCTTGACTTTCCGGCCACTCTATTGAGTCATTTAATCTCACAACAGTTCTATGGGATAGGTGTTACTGTTTTCATCCCGGTTTTTCAGATGGGGAAACTGAGACACAGAAGTAGTAGTCAGTTGCCCAAGGTGTCGCAGTGAGAAAGTACTGGAGTTGGGCCTCAGACCCTGCGAGTCAGGCCCCAGAGTTCACTGGGGCCATGTGCTCAACTACCATGCCGCCTGCCTGCCGCCGGGGTTGAGCCAGCTGAAACCTGGGTGCTGCTTCTGATGTGGGTGTTCTCCTTTGCTCTCTCCCCCAGCACCCGCACAGGCAGCAGCAGCAGTTCTCATCTCTGGATGACAAGCCCCAGTTCCCAGGGGCCTCGGCTGAGTTTATAGACAAGTTGGAATTCATCCAGCCCAATGTTATCTCTGGAATCCCCATCTACCGTGTCATGGACCGGCAAGGCCAGATCATCAACCCCAGCGAGGACCCCCACGTGAGAGGCGACCTTCCCCACTTCCCATGCCCCCCATGCCCAGGCCCCTTACCTGTCTCCTCTCTGGTCCCAACCGCCCCACGTCTGTCTGTGCCTCCACCCGCAGCTGCCAAAGGAGAAGGTGCTGAAGCTCTACAAGAGCATGACACTGCTTAACACCATGGACCGCATCCTCTATGAGTCTCAGCGGCAGGTGCGTGGGGACAGGCCTGGGGGCAGGGGGCTGGAATTACCTGAGGTCCCCTACCTGTGTTTGGGCCAGAGGATGGCTCTCAAGGAAGAGAGATTCTTTTTTGGGGGGGTTCTGTAGAGTTCGGAGGGTTCTCTTGGGACTCTGGAGGAAAAGTGTGAGAGCAGTCCTGCCCTAGGGCAGAAGGATGGACCTGATCACTAAAAACACCTACTGTGTGCCTGACTGGGGGCTTGCCTGTGCTGGGAGAGGGCAGGGAGAAGGCCTGACAGCCCTTCCTCTTGGAAACACACGGTCCTGAGAAACAGGGTGGGTCCCCAGTGCTTCCTGGAGTGCTCCAGGGGACCACCCTAGGCCCATGTGGAATGTGCTATGATCCCCTGATAAATCCTAGTATCAGGGGACAAGGATCCAGTCAAGCCAGTGTCAACAAAGAGGGAAGTTATTGACTCCAATTACCATACCTCCAGAGGGTCCTCTTTTGGGGCACAGCTGGATCCAGGGGGCTCAAAAGCTGTCATTAGACCTTCTCTCGCTCTGTTCTCCTTTGCCTTGGCTTTCTTCCTCTCCAGGTGGTGGTAGGCTCTGGCAGCTCCTGGCTCATGCAGAGTAGGTAGGCAGAGAGAAAGGGTGTAGGGTACAGGCTCTGAAGCAAGTCTGTAAGACTGAAGTCCTAGTTCTGCCCCTTTCTAGCTCTGTGGTCTTGGGAAAGTTGTTTAGAACTTCAGTGCTTCAGTTTTCTATTTTATTTTATTTTATTTTATTTTTTAAATTGTATTTCTTATTTTATTTATTTAATTTTATTTTGTTTATTTTTATTTATTTTATTTTATTTTATTTTTTGAGGCAGAGTCTAGCTGTGTTGCCCAGGCTGGAGTGCAGTGGCACGATCTTGGCTCACTGCAACCCCTGCCTCCTGGGTTGAAGCCATTCTCCCGCCTTAGCCTCTTGAGTAGCTGGCACCCACCACCCCACCTGGCTAATTTTTGTATTTTTAGTAGAGATGGGGTTTCGCCATGTTGGCCAGGCTGGCCTCAAACTCCTGACCTTAGGTGATCTGCCTCCCTCAGCCTTCCAAAGTACTGGGATTACAGGCATAAGCCACTGCACCCAGCCTAGTTTATTTTATTTATTTCATTTTATTTTATTAGTTTATACGGGGTCTTACTCTGTCTCCCAGACTGTTGTGTGGTGGTGCCCTTGTAGCTCACTGTAGCCGTGACCTCCTGGTCTCAAGCAATCCTCCTGCTTTGGCTTCCCTAACAGCTGAAACTATAGGCATGGACCACCATCCCCAGCTAATGTTTTTAATTTTTTGTAGAGATGGGATCTTGCATTGTTGCCCAGGCTGGTCTTGAACTCCTGGGCTCAAGTGAGCCTCCCATCTTGGCACCTCCCAAAGTGCCATTGCGCCCAGCCAGTGCTTTGGTTTTCTTATCTGCACCTGCCTCATGAGGTTGGCATGAGGGTTGATGGTGGCATATGTAATGGCCTTAGGAACAGCAAAACTGGCATTTAGCTACCACTTAATATTAGCTTCTTCTTATTTACGATGATCCTATCCATCTTGCAATTATTATCCTTTCCACTTAGCAGTGGAAAGAGAATCGTGTTTGACAGTTCAGCACAAGGCCCAGAGCTGGCACTCATTGGCCAAGCTTTGGTCGTAGACCCTGTCATGAACCAATAACTGTGACTGATTGGCCAAGCCCAGGCTATGTGCCCCCCCAGGAACTGAGGGAGAAGAGGAGTAGAGTCCATCTCCCAGGCCTCAGAGATGGAGGGCGGGGCTGAGGGTTCCTCTGAGAAAAGTGGGAAGCTTATTGGGCAGGCAGGCCCTTGGATGTCCACCATTCTTGTGGGGTCAGGACCTCTCCAGGGCTTGGGGGGTCAGGACCTCTGCCAGGCTTGGGAATTTGCATTTGTGTCAAGTGCCCAGGTGACCCTGTTGTGGACACTGTGTGGATTCGGGCAGGCAGCCCACTCCCAGGCTTTCTCATTCACAGGAATCCTATACATGGGTTCGCCAAGTTAGGGTAGTGTCTTCACCCTGCCCAGAAATTTCCCTGGGCATCCAGCGCCCACAGGAGCAAGTCCAGCCCTTCCTGGCCACCCTGCCTGCCTGTTCTTCCGTGGCTTGGTGCTCTCTGCTCCTCTCTCCACAGCCTCAGTGCCAGGCCACACCACCCCTGCATGCATAGGCTCCCTCCTGCCCCACTGTGAGTTGCACACACGGGCTTTGGAGTCCAGTGGGCTTGGGTCCAGTCACACCTGTGACTTCGGACAGGTGATTTTTCTTGTCTTTGCCTCAGTTTCCTCATTGTTTTAAAGAATGAGGCTAACGATAGAACCACCCTAAAGGGCAGGGGTAGAAATTCTGTGAGACACAGCAAGTAGGGTTCGTGCCTATTGGCTGACACAGAGGAAGCTCTCAGTAAGGTCACCTCACCCGTCACCGTGCGGCCTGCTTCTGTTAGGACTGTGTTCAGCTGTGAGTTACCTCTTTCCCACTGCAAAAACAAAACAAAACAAAACAAAAAACGAAACAAAACAAAAACACACACACACACACACACAAAACCCCAAACCCTAACAAATAAAAACAAAAGCAGTAGCTTATACAGACGAGTAATTTCTTCTTTTGAATGAAAGAAACCTGGGCCGGGCCCAGTGGCTCATAGTAATCCCAGCATTTTAGGAGGCCAAGGTGGGTGGATCACCTGAGGTCAGGAGTTTGAGATCAGCCTGGCCAACATGGCAAAACCCCATCTTTACTAAAAACACATAAAATAGCCTAGCATGGTGGTGCATGCCTGTAGTCCCATCTACTCAGGAGGCTGAGGTGGGAGAATCACTTAAGCCTGGGAGGCAGAGGTTGCAGTGAGCCAAGATCACGCCACTGTATTCCGGCCTGGGCTAAAGAGTGAGCCTTTGTCTCAAAAAAAAAAAAAAAAAAAAAAAAAATCTGGAAACAGGTGGTCTGGGGCAGGTCTGGTGGCACCATGATGTCACTGGAGTCATTGGACACCGAGTTTTCTTTCATTGCTTACATCTGCCACTCATAGCATTGACTTCTACCTTCTCTGAGGTCCCCTCATGAGCCAAAATGGTTGCTGAAGCTCTCTCCATCACATCTCATTCTAGGCAGGAAGTAGAGGGAAGGTGGAAGGCCAGACATGGCACATCCCAGCTATCACATCCCCCTACCTTTTTAGAGCTTTCTGGGTAGTCCCACCTAGTAACATCTGCATACATTTCATGGGCCACTCCTAGCTGCAGGGAAGACTGAGAAATGTATTAATAATCCTTTAGTCCAGGCAGTTGCTGCCTGCGGGAGATTGAGACCTCTGTTAACAGAGGAGGGAAATAGGATACTGGGAAGGCAATCACGAGCCTCTGCCAGTAGCCCGGAGTCCTGATCCTCAGGGGGCTGGTCGCAGGCTCCTCCCCACGCTAACCTGGACAGTCCTGCCAGGCCCTCAGTACTCAGCACCGCCCACTCACTTGGCACTGGAATGTGCATTAACTTTTAATTGGCTCCCCACTTGGAAGAAAGCACACATTCATCAGTTTCCCCCACAGCAACGGGAAAGCCAGGCCTGGGAACACACGGGGGAGGGCACTGCCGAGCCATGAGGTGCACTGACCCCGGGGTGTCCCTAAGGTGCTGTCCAGGCTGCCTTTGTTGTGCTTTACACATGGCCCTGTGTGATCTCATGTGCATCCATATGCCAGGGCTGCCCAGAGCCCTGTCCAGACTGCTTGTCAGAGCCCTGCTTGGCTTCTCGCCCTGGATGTCCCACAGCAAACTAATCCTGTCTGAACTTGACCTCGACATCTTCCTCCCAGGCGTGCTCCTTTGCCTCATCTAGTCTGTTTCTCAGTGAAGGGCACCACCATCCACCCGCTCGCCCACACCAGAAACCTCATCTCATCCCTGTCTCCTCCCTTCCCCTTGCTATCCCTTTCTCCCCTCTCATTCCCTCTGTAGATATTTCTTTTTTTTTTTTTTTATTTTCGAGACGGAGTTTTGCTCTTGTTGCCCAGGCTGGAGTGCAATGGCACAATCTCAGCTCACTGCTTCCCTGGTTTAAGCAAGTCTCCTGTCTCAGCCTCCTGAGTAGCTGGGATTACAGGCATGCCCCAGCACACCTGGCTAATTCTGTATTTTTAGTGGAGATGGGGTTTCTCCATGTTGGTCAGGCTGGTCTCAAACTCCCAACCTCAGGTGATCTGCCTGCCTCGGCCTCCCAAAACGCTAGGATTATAGGTATGAGCTACCGCACCAAGCTATAGATACTTCTTTTCTTTTATGTTATTTTTATTTATTTATTTAGAGACGGAATCTCTCTCTTTCGCCCAGGCTGGAGTGCAGTGGCGCAATCTCGGCTCACTGCAACCTCCACCTCCCAGGTTCAAGAGATTCTCCTGCCTCAGTCACCCAAATAGCTGGGATTAGAGGCGCCCATCACCACATCCGGCTAATTTTTGTATTTTTAGTAGAGATGGGGTTTCACCCTGTTGGCCAGGCTAGTCTTGAACTCCTGACCTCAAGTGATCCACCTGCCGTGGCCTCCCAAAGTACTAGGATTACAGGCGTGAACCACCACGCCTAGCCTGTCTGTACATACTTCCTTAGGAACTGCTCAGCTGCTCAGCAGCACACTTTGGGACCCAGCCCCGTCCTCTCTCTGCTTCACTGTTGTTGGTGAGCTGGTCTTCGTGCTCTGCTTGTGGCCTTGTGTTCTCAGCATGGCTGCTGCATGTCCAGGCTTCTTGGCTGTCTGCAAGGCAGGAAGAAGTTGGGAGTGGATGGGGCTCGCACCAGCAGCAGTGGTCTCTTCTATCCAGAAAGCAAAAGCAGATTTCCACCGAAATCTCTGGCTAAAACTGTGTCGCACGGCCACCTCTGGCTGCAAGGGAGGCCAGTAACCTGAGCGCGTGTCTTTTCGAGGCTCAGGATAGGGGATTTGGGAGAAGGAAGCTGGGCACTGATGTGGCCAGCTGACAGGGTCTGCTGCCCCCTAGCACAGCCAACTCAGCTGCCTCAGACACATCCACCTGCTCCTCTCCCACCTCCCCCTGCTACCAAGCTGGGCCTCTGTCCCCTCTCTCCTGGCTCGCTGCAGTCAGCCTTGATGGTTCCATCCATTTCCCTCACTGCAGCCTGAGAGCAATTCTAAAACACAGGTCTGACCACATTGCTCCCTTGAGAAGACCTGTTGGCAGGTTACCACCATTCTCAGAGTAAAATCAATGTATCGTTCCCTTTGTTATCTGGGTGCCACCTTCCTCTCCCTCATCTTTCCCCACCCCTACCACTATACGTCCCAGCCCTTCGGTCCTCACGGTCTATCATTCCCTCTGCCTGGAACCCTCCACCCACCCCATCTTTGTTCATTGGTCCTTGCTGATGCCCTTCCGTGGTGGAAAAGGTGCTTCCTTTGGGCTCCTATCACAGCACCTCGATCCCTCTGGCAGTTCTAAGCAGTCTGGCAGCATCTCCATAAAGGCAGGAACCCTAGCATGGCCTGGCCCAGGACTGGCCTTCAGGCAGGCTGCAAATTCACGGAGGTGTCAGAAGCTAGGTAGGGTTTGGATGGCTCTCTGTCATTGCCCAGCATAACCAAGTGTGGGCCCCCGGTCCCCCCTCCACCCCCAGGGCCGGATCTCCTTCTACATGACCAACTATGGCGAGGAGGGCACGCACGTGGGGAGTGCCGCCGCCCTGGACAACACAGACCTGGTGTTTGGCCAGTACCGGGAGGCAGGTACGTCTGTCTGTGGTTTGGCCCTGTGGTCCCCATTGAGGTGTACAATTTAGTCTTTCTGAGTGTTCTTCCAGGAGCAGCACAGTGCCAGGAAGGTCTAAGGAGCTGGAAGAAGAGCTTTCCAAGCAAGAAAGAGACAAGCCAGGGTCAGGACTCTGGAGGGGGCGGTCTTCCCACTCTGAAGGCTGGAAAGTGTAGTGGCTCAGGGTCTGTGCTCTTAACCCTTTGTTACCAGTTGTCAGGTTTCGGGCACATCACTTCCCTTCTCTGAGCCTCAGTTTTCTAATCTCCAGAAGAGGGATTATGATGGTACCTGCATCCAAGGGTCGCTGGGAGGATGCAGTGAGGTCGGCGCTCGCTGTGGGTGTGGTCTCTGCTGGAGACCCTGTCTGCCTGGTGCAGAGATCCTCTGGCCCCTCCTCAGGTGCTGTATCCTTCAGGGAGCAGGAGCAGGTGGAAGAACCTTGACGGACCTGAGTGCGGTGCAAGATCAGAGGGGCCCGGCAGGCCCCGATGAGTGAAAGGAAGGAAGGGTCAAAGACCAGGAATGAAGAAAATCATTGAGCAGGAATGAGTGCCTGGGAGCGAAGGAGTGAGCCCAGGGAGCAGTGAGTAGGGTGTTCCAGGGAGCTTGTTGGTGTGGGGCCCTGCAAGGGGACTACCCTCTGAGTGTCAGCGAGCACTGGTAGGGCTAGGAAGGCACATCTTAACCCTTTGTCTTAGACGCTGCACAGCCTGGGGCAAGTTGCTTAACTGCCCGGTGCCTCTGTTTCCTCATTCGTAGGGGGGATGGTAGCCCTTCCCAAGACAGCTGTTGAGGGGAGTCTTGGGGCAGTTGGCACAGTGCCCTCAGCACAGAGTGAGCGCTCAGGGGCAGGGGTTGGTGTCATGATTGGGGCCTCACCCTGGAACAGCCCTTCCGCCAGGCCAGACCACGTGGCTGTCCAGAGCCCCCATGGACCAGTATGACTTGCAGCCTGCTCCTGGACTGTCTACTGCTCACAGCTGGACCAGGCCCCTGGCCCCACATGCTCTAGGAGGGCAAACGCCCTGTGATGTTTGTCAGGTTGAGTGTCATCCATGCGGAAAATGAGATTTCCAGACGCTGGGCAGCAAGCTGGGGCCCCACCAGCTGTGCTGAGCACTGCACCTGTTTTTGCTGAAGGGGTCTCTTTTGTGAGGGCACCAGGCAGGACCGAGCAAGCCTCATGGGAATCATGGGAGCCGCTGAGCTCTCCACATGGGAGAGAGTGACTGTCCAGCATTGAGGGTCAGCAGAAGTGTCTGGGCAGCTGCAAATGGGACTCGTGCAGAGGCAGCATGGTGCAGGCTAAGGAGTTGAGTCAGACCCACTCTAGGCTTCACTTGGCAGGCTGCTTGCCTTGGTGACGCTGTGTGTCATCTGTGAAGTGAGAAGAGTGGTCTTCATCATGGTAGGTAGCGTTTCCCTGGGCTCTTGACACCAGAGTGCTGTTCTTTTATTCTTCTCCTTTATTTTAATTTTATTTTTTTTGAGATGGAGTCTTGCTCTGTCACCCAGGCTGGAGTGCAGTGGTGTGATCTCGGCTCACTGCAAGCTCTGCCTCCTGGGTTCATGCCATTCTCCTGCCTCAGCCTCCCGAGTAGCTGGGACTACAGGCACCCGCCACCACACCTGGCTAACTTTTTTGTAATTTTAGTAGAGATGGGGTTTCACTGTGTTAGCCAGGATGGTCTCGATCTCCTGACCTCGTGATCCGCCCTGCTTGGCCTCCCAAAGTGCTGGGATTACAGGCATGAGCCACTGTGCCATTAGGTTTTTTTTTTTTTTTTTTTTTGAGGTGGAGTCTCACTCTGTCGCCCAGGCTGGAGTGCGATGGCGCAGTCTTGGCTCACTGCAGCCTCTTGTCTCCCAGGTTCAGGTGATTCTTCTGTCTCAGCCTCCTGAGTAGCTGGAATTACAGGCATGCACCACCATGCCTGGCTAATTTTTGTATTTTCAGTAGAGACGGGGTTTCACCACGTTGGTCAGGCTGGTTTCAAACTCCTAACCTCGAGTGATTCATTTGCCTTGGCCTCCCAGAGTGCTGGGGATTACAGGCGTTAGCCACCACGCCCAGCCAGCCAAGGTGCTGTTATAAGTGCTCTTTAGCCTTGGAGATTGTCATTTCCCCTCACCACACTGCAGAGCAAGGGCACACTGGGTGAGGTTAGGGGCCCCGATGGTGTTGCCTCATTGAGGCACCTCCCGCATCCATGTGAGGCAGGAGAGGCAGGCATTACCGTCAACTCTAAAAGCCAGATAAGAACCTGAGTCAACAGAGGTGAGGTCACGGGCTCAGGCCATGTTCTCCTAAGGAGTGGAGCCAAGTCCTTGCATGGCTGTCTGACCCAGAGATAGCTCTCGCTGTTTCCCACCCTTGGCTGTCCTCCCAGAGCTATACGTGGTGTGTCAGTGGTGGCACCGGCAGGGAGTGGCACCCAGTGAAAAGGAGTGTTAAGAGGAAGCAGGTGCCAGGTGCGGTGGCTCACGCCTGTAATCCCAGCACTTTGGGTTGCCGAGGTGAGAAGATTGCTTGAGCCCAGGAGTTTGATACCAGCCTGGGCAACATGGCGAGACCCCCATCGCTGAAAAATTCAAAAATTAGCCAGGCGTGGTGGTGCACACCTGTAGTCCCAGCTACTCAGGAGGCTGAGTGGGAGGATTGCTTGAGCCCGGGAGTTCAAGACTGCAGTGATCTATGCTTCCACCACCGAACTCCAGTTTGGGTGACAGAGTGAGATCCTGTCTCTGAGACCAACAAGAAAAGAGGTGGCAGGTGTCAAGCAAGAGCAGCAGTTCCCACTGGACCTGGAGTTTCCTGGTGCAAATCAGCCTGTGAGTCTGTATTTTCTTTTTCTTTGAGACGGGGTCTCACTCTGTCACCCAGGTTGAAGTGCAGTGGCATGATCTCGGCTCATGCAACCTCTGCCTCTTAGGATCAAGTGATCCTCCCACCTCAGCCTCCTGAATAACTGGGACCACAGGTGCACACCACAACACCTGGCTAATTGTTTTTTTTTAAATTTATTTTTGGTAGAGATGGGGTTTCGCCGTGTTGCCCAGGCTGGTCTCAAACTCCTGAGCTCAAGCGATCCACCTGCCTCACCCTTCCAAAGTGCTGGGATTACAGGCATGAGCCACTGCACCTGGCAAGTTTGTACTTTTAGCACCTTCCCCGCCCCTACCCAGTCCTTCTCATGTGGGTGGACCCAGTACCACATTCTGAGAAAGCCTGATTCCAAGATCCTGTATCAGTGCCTTGGACCTTCTTTGGCCCTCTACAAGGCCTTTCTTTCCCTCTTTAACCAGAGCAACTCCTGTTTCCATCTGTTACATATGCACCACAGCCACATGTTATGTGGATTTGTGTTATGTCCATTCAAAAGCATATGTCAGAAAATACCAATAAACCTGTATTAAAGTTGAATGTTGAAGTAATGCTAATCACCCTCAACTCTAACTAAAATATTAACAAGTGGGCCGGGCGCGGTGGCCCATGTCTGTAATTGCAGCACTTTGGGAGGCTGAGGCAGGTGGATCACCTGAGGTTGGGAGTTTGAGACCAGTCTGACCAACATGGAGAAACCCTTTCTCTACTGAAAATACAAAAATTAGCTGGTTGTGGTGGCGCATGCCTGTAATCCCAGCTACTCAGGAGGCTGTGGCAGGAGAATCGCTTGAACCCGGGAGGCAGAAGTTGCAGTGAGCCAAGATTGTGCCATTGCATTCCGGGCAACAAGAACAAAACTCCATCTCAAAAAAAAAAAAAAAAAAAGCCAGGTGTAGTGGTGCACACCTGGAATCCCAGCTATTTGGGAGACTGAGGCACAAGAATTGCTTGAACTAGAAGGCGGAGGTTGCAGTGAGCTCAGGTTGCACTACTGCACTCCAGCGTGGGTGGCCGAGCCAGACTCCGTCTCAAAAAAAAAAAAAAAAACGGTAACTGCTGTGTGTAATGTGATCACCATTAAATTTGTATCTAAAGACGGGGTTCTGCAGTAAAGAAAGGGTTTGGAAAGCACTGTACTAGAGAGCTCCCTCTGAATAATGTTCCTGGTCTGAGTGCTTGCAGCATTGATCCACAGCGCTGCCCCTAAGGTGTGGATGTGAAGATTGTCCCACTATCCAGGTGGGGCAAAGAGCTTGTCCGAGGGCAATCCCAAACCCCCTTCTGTCTTCTAACTCAGGAGGAAGGGCTGCCTTCACCTGGAGCGGTTCCCTTTGATGGGCAGGTGGGTGTTCACCAGAGGTTTTGTTTGAAGAAAGGGTTTTACTGCCATACGTGGGTTAGAGTACTTCTTCTGTAGTCCAGAAGTTGTAAATTAGTGGTCTATGCTGTTATTTGGTTCATAATGATGATGTTTTTCTTTTTTTTTTTTTGAGACAGGGTCTTGCTTTGTAGCTCGGATTGGAGTGCAGTGGCACAATCTCAGCTGCCTGCAGCCTTGAACTTCTGGGCTGAAGCAGTCCTCTGTCTCAGCCTCCCAAGTAGCTGGAACCACAGGCACACATCACCATGCCTGGCCAATGTTTTGAATTTTTTTTTTTTTTTGTGGAAGCAAGGCCTCACTATGTTGCCCACGCTGGTCTCCAACCCCTGGGCTGAAGCGATCCTTCAACGTCAGTCTCCCAAAGTGCTGGGATTACAGGCATGAGCCACCATGCCTGGCCATAGTGATGATTTATGGTTAGAATATTTCTTAAAGGTAATTGAATTAGTTGAAAGCACTTAAAGACCAGACAGTGTCTCACTAAGAGGAAGAAAGAAAAAGGCTAGATTTCTGCTTTCTTTTGAAAAATCAGATTGGCCTTGCTGGGCAGTCAGTCAGTCTGAACATCAGTCTCCCTCTTAAAAACAAGCCCGAGCTTTCCTGTCTGTCTGCCAGCATGCTGCGGGTCACGCACGGGGCCGATCTGACCCCCTGCACTGCCCACTCAGCTAACCATTGCCTCCTCCCCTCCTAGGTGTGCTGATGTATCGCGACTACCCCCTGGAACTATTCATGGCCCAGTGCTATGGCAACATCAGTGACTTGGGCAAGGGGCGCCAGATGCCTGTCCACTACGGCTGCAAGGAACGCCACTTTGTCACTATCTCTTCTCCACTGGCCACACAGATCCCTCAGGGTGAGGATGCATGCCCTGGACCTTGCACACATGCAGACCAGTGTCACACCCCGGTCCAGGCCTCAGCTCTTCTGCCTCCCTTCTGGGTGGAATTCTGGGTTGGTGACACCACCAGAGCCCTGGTCTGTGCTCCAGACTTATTACTATTTTTTTCTTTTTTGAGACGGAGTCTTGCTCTGTTGCCCAGGCTAGAGTGCAGTGGTGCAATTGCAGCTCACTGCAGCCTCCTTCTCCCGGGTTCAAGCAATTCTCCTGCCTCAGCCTCCCAAGTAGCTGAGACTATAGGTGTGCACCACCACGCCCAGCTAAGTTTTGTATTTTTTTTTTTTTTTTTGAGATAGAGTCTTGCTCTGTCGCCCAGGCTGGAGTGCAGTGGCCGGATCTCAGCTCACTGCAAGCTCCGCCTCCCGGGTTTACGCCATTCTCCTGCCTCAGCCTCCCGAGTAGCTGGGACTACAGGCGCCCGCCACCTCGCCCAGCTAGTTTTTTGTATTTTTTAGTAGAGACGGGGTTTCACCGTGTTAGCCAGGATGGTCTCGATCTCCTGACCTTGTGATCCACCCGTCTCGGCCTCCCAAAGTGCTGGGATTACAGGCGTGAGCCACCGCGCCCGGCCAGTTTTGTATTTTTAATAGAGACGGGGTTTCACCGTGTTGGCCGGGCTGGTCTCAAACACCTTGCCTCAGCTAGTGCTAGGATTACATGCATGATTCACTGTGCCCAGCCCACTTTTTTTTTTTTTTGTCTGAGACAGGGTTTCACTCTCGTCAGCCAGGTTGGAGTGCAATGGTGTGATCTCGGCTCACTGTAACCTCCACCTTCCAGGCTCAAGTGATTCTCCTGCCTTTATCTCCTGAGTAGCTGGGATTATGGGCATATGCCACTGCACCTGGCTAATTTTTTGTAGAGATAAGGTTTCACCATGTTGGCCAGGCTAGTCTTGAACCTGAGCTCAAGTGACCTGCCTGCCTTGGCCTGTCAAAGTGCTGGGATTACAGATGTGAGCCACTGCACCCGGCCTGTGTTCCAGACTTGGAATGCACCTCTTGTCTGGGACCCTTCAGAAGAGGGCTCTGTTGCTGTCCCCACCCCATTCAGGGGCCTGAAGCCTGTGCGACCACACTCTGGATTTCCCAACCACATGCCCACTGCGTTTGTCTGCTCACAAACACAGCCAACATGTGCACGAGGTTCCACTGTGCCAGTGCTTCACATTCATCGTCCAATAGGACCCTCATTGTGGCCATGGGGACAGAGGTTATTATTTGCTCTTGTTCCTGTTTTCGAGAGCAGGAGGCCCATGTTTTGTGTGTGAGAGAGTGAGAGCAAATGAGTGGGAAAAAAAAGTGCAGGAAGCCTGGCTAACATGGCAAAGCCCTGTCCCTACTAAACATACACAAATTAGCTTGGTGTGGTGATGCACACCTGTGATCCTAGCTACTTGGGAGGCTGAAGCAGGAGGATCGCTTGAACCTGGGAGGCAGAAGTTGCAGTGAGCTGAGATTGTGCCGTTGCACTCTAGCCAAAGTGAGATCCTGTCTCAAAAAAAAAAAAAAAAAAAAAGGAAATTGAAGTCAAAGAGGGAAGTCACTCGCTAACGGTCATATGGCACAGAGGGAGAGGAGCAGGGACTCAAGTCATGGACTATGTACCTCCAGAGCCTGGGTTCTTGGCCCTGACCTTTGTCTGCCTCAGTCCTTAGAGTCAAGCAAGCTTCCCCAAAGCTTACTGTAGGTGCCCTGAAGCCCCTTCCCTTATAAGAGGCTTGTTTGGGAAGCAAACCCACCAGGTGCCAGGCCTGCACCCTCATAGCGTGGAGAACAAGGAATAGGAGCCCCTTCCTGCCCTCTGGGGCCTGTAGCCTGATCTAGGGTTGGTCTGGGCTCTGGCTTCTTTGCCCTAGGCAGCTAAGATGCATGAGTTTGTGTCTCTCCAGGCCTCAGCACTGTGCCCGGCACAGTAGAAGGCTCCACACCCCTTAGCTCATAGTGTTCTTCTGTTGGGAAACAAGAAGCAGTTTGAGCCTTTTAGGTGGGACGTGGGCAGGGAAGCTTTCTCAGACGAGGAGGCATTTAGGGGGCATTTGAACTAAAGGTAATAGGGTTTCCACAAGGCTGGCACCTGCCCCTAACCTTCCCTCTGGGTCCCTGCTAAGTCACTTCAAATGTAAGAAGTTCCTGCCGTGTGCTGGTGCCACTCCAAGTACAGGGAACAAAAGCAACGCAAACCTCAGCCTTCCAGGTGCTGCCATCGTGGTGGGGGAGATGGACAGTAACAAAGATGGAGAGGGAATGCCTGGAGTATATGAGGGTGGGGGTTCTGTAGGGAGCAGCCAAGCCAGTGGGGTGTGGTACACTGTGGGGGTAGCTGGGGGCCGTCACTGGAGTGACACTGAAGTATGGACCAGAGGAAGTGAGGGAGGGAGCTGTGTGGTGTCTTGAGGCAGGTGTGAGCCTGGTGTGTTTGAGGAGCAGGGAGGAGCCCAGAGGGGCAGGTGTGGAGTGAGCGGGTATGGGGTGAGCAGGTGTGGGGTGGTTGGAGGTAAAGTCCAGAGGTGGTGGGAGGGGTGCAGATGGTGCAGGTTGGGTGGGGCCTCAAGGCCTTTGCCTTTTGCAGGGATGTTGACTTTTACTTACACTGGGACAGGAGCCGTGGGTGGGGAGGAGTCTGCTCCTCCTTGGCCTGGCTCACCTCTTCATGGAATCTGCAGGCCTCCCTGTAGGTAACAGATTGGGCAGTGTGTGAAGGGCTAGTAAGGAGGCTGCTCGGTAACTTGGGCTTGACAAGGGTGGTGCTGAGGAGGAGGTGAGAGGGGTCAGGTTCTGAAGGTGGAGCAGATGTGGGGAATGGTGGGAAGGCTTGTTGGAGATGATGCTGGAGTCTTCAGCCTGAGCAGTTGGAAGGGGGAGCTGCTCTCAGCTGAGCAGGAGGAGACCTGGATGGGCAGATGCTGGGGGCATCAGGAGCTCAGGTGTTTTCTTTCCCCTTGAAGCCTGGTGACCGCTGGCCTGAGCCTCAGAGCCCTGGGTCGTGTGAGGGTGAATGAGTGTGAGTGAGTGCGTGTAAGTCTTTGCCCCTGCTCACCACCCTCTCATCCCCTGCAGCGGTGGGGGCAGCCTACGCAGCCAAGCGGGCCAATGCCAACAGGGTCGTCATCTGTTACTTCGGTGAGGGGGCAGCCAGCGAGGGGGATGCCCACGCCGGCTTCAACTTCGCGGCCACACTTGAGTGCCCCATCATCTTCTTCTGCCGGAACAATGGCTACGCCATCTCCACGCCCACCTCCGAGCAGTATCGCGGCGATGGCATTGGTATGGACTCTACTGGCTGCTCCCCACCCCGCCGGGATCATCTCCTTCCCTCCCCCATCCCCTCACCTTCCTGCCACCCCTGCCCTCCTTCCTGGTCCTTCCTGTGTCCTGTGGTGTCTGGCGCTTGGTCAGCCACAGGAGTCGAGGTCCTGAGCACTCAGCCTTGCTCTCTCTGTCCTCTCCCTGCTCATCCCCTTGGCCTCGTGCATGTTCCTCATCTCAGCCCTGGCCTGACCTGCCTTCTCTGTGTCCCCACAGCAGCACGAGGCCCCGGGTATGGCATCATGTCAATCCGCGTGGATGGTAATGATGTGTTTGCTGTGTACAATGCCACAAAGGAGGCCCGACGGCGCGCTGTGGCAGAGAACCAGCCCTTCCTCATCGAGGCCATGACCTACAGGTACCCGCCACTCCCCCATCAGCACCCCCACAGCGCTGACAGCCACTGTAGCATCTTCCTCATATCGATCACTGTCTCCAAAACATGGCCTTATCACCTGATGTTGCATTTGCCCTTGCCTTGATTCCGTTTCCACTCCTCCTTCCCTAGTCCATCCCCCATCCTCCCTCCTGACCCCCACTCCAGGGAGCCCCACACTGACCTGGGGCCTTTTGCCCCTATGCAGGATCGGGCACCACAGCACCAGTGATGACAGTTCAGCGTACCGCTCAGTGGACGAAGTCAATTACTGGGACAAGCAGGACCACCCCATCTCCCGGCTGCGGCACTACCTGCTGAGCCAAGGCTGGTGGGATGAGGAGCAGGAGAAGGCCTGGAGGAAGCAGTCCCGCAAGAAGGTGAGGGCACCGCGCCCGGGAGGGTGTGCTGGGGGCTGCTGTGGCCTGCAGAGCTCGGGAAGGATTTGCGGGACACCGAACTGGGAGGCTCAGGGATAACCCCAGTGATGTCTCAGATGTGGCCTGTGGAGCCAGGCTGCTGGGGCCATGTGTGTCCTGGCTCTGTGTCCTCAGCACGTTGCCCTCCACTTCCTTGTCTTTGAAGGGGGATGCTGGTGGTGCCCATTTCAGAAACTGGTTTGAGGCTGGGCCTGGTAGCTCATGCCTGTAATCCCAGCACTTTGGGAGGCTGAGGTGGCAATCACTTGAGGTCAGGAGCTTGAGAACAGCCTGGCCAACATGGTCAAATCCTGTCTCTACTAAAAATACAAAAATTAGGGCTGGGCGCGGTGGCTCATGCGTTTAATCTCAGCACTTTGGGAGGCCAAGGCGGACGGATCACCTGAAGTTAGGAGTCCGAGACCAGCCTGGCCAAGATGGTGAAACCTTGTCTCTAATAAAAATACAAAAATGAGCCGGGCATGGTGGCGGGTGCCTGTAATCCCAGCTACTCGGGAGGCTGAGGCAGGAGAATTGCTTGAACCTGGGAAGCAGAGGTTGCAGTTAGCTGAAATCGTACCATTGCACTCCAACCTGGGCAACAACAGTGAGACTCCATCTCAAAAAAAAAAAAAAAAGAAAAAAAGCCAGGTGTGGTGATGCGCACCTGTAGTCCCAGCTACTGGGGAAGGTGAAGCAGGAGAATCACTTGAACCTGGGAGGCGGAACTTGCAGTGATCCGAGATGGCGCCACTGCACTCCAGCCTGGGCAACAGAGTGAGACTATCTCTTAAAAAAAAAAAAAAAAAAAAAAAAAGAAGAAGCTGGTTTGAGGAGTAGGTGGCGAACCGTGTGCAGTGTACGTGCCCTGCCCAGAATCAGTGTGCCACCCTCCCTGGCCTGGTCATTAGGAGCCAGGAGCCTTGCAACCCAGCGGTGAGGGCAGCACCCAGCATAGGGCAGCACTGTGCGTCCAATCCCTGCCTTTCTCTGTGCCTCAGTTTCCTCATTGCTCAGCTGCCTACCTCTTAGGGCTGCTGAAAGCCTTAAGTGAATCCACACACTTGCATAGCACCTGATCCCTGCTAGGATTTGGGGTTTTTCGTTACACCTCTGCTAGGATGATCATTTCCATTGTCCAGGTGGGAACACAAAGACTTGGAGGGGTTAACTCCTTGCCGAGGCCCCGCAGGAGGAGGCAGGGCCCTGCATGGGAGGCCGGCTGCCTGCCCACTGCCCCATGTCCCCACAGGTGATGGAGGCCTTTGAGCAGGCAGAGCGGAAGCCCAAACCCAACCCCAACCTGCTCTTCTCAGATGTGTATCAGGAGATGCCCGCCCAGCTCCGCAAGCAGCAGGAGTCCCTGGCCCGCCACCTGCAGACCTACGGGGAGCACTACCCACTGGAGCACTTTGATAAGTGAGGCCTGCTCAGCCCACCCCCACCCGCCTTCAGCTACCCCAAGAGGTAGCCCACTCTAAGGGGAGCAGGGGGACCTGGCAGCACACTACCCTCTTCCCCAGTCAGCTCCCTCTAAAACAGTCGGCGGCCCGGGCGGCTGCCGCTCTTCACCCCTGCTCCTCTAGGCTGTTACATTGTCGGGGGATAGTATCTGCTGCAGTTGCTGGGGCTCCGTCAGCCCTCTTTTCACCTGTTGTTACAGTGCCTTCTCCCAGGGGCTGGGTGAGGGGGTGTACAGGACTAGAAGCCCCTCTGGGTATGGGGTGGACATGGCAGGTCAGCCTGTGGAACTTGCGCAGGTGCGAGTGGCCAGCAGAGGTCACGAATAAACTGCATCTCTGCGCCTGGCTCTCTACCACCTCTGGTCTCTACCACCTCTGGAGTTTGGGGGTGATTTGAGGCCACCCCCAGCTTCTCCACCTTAGATAAATAAGGTCAAGGCCCTTGAGATACCTACTTCCCCCGGAAGCTTTCGCAAGCTGGAAGGTTAGCTCCAGCAGACAGGATGGGGGTGGGGGGATCCTTCAGAGATGGTCTCCTGCTCTCTCACAGAATGGGGCAAGCCTGCTGTCCAGCAGAGTAACAGGGAGCCCAGCAGAGCTAGCCCTGCCCAGCAAGGGTGCAGGGGAGCGTCCAGGATGAAGGTCAGGGTGTGGCCAAGCCCTGCTCCCCACCACTCCAGGGCCCCGCAGTGAAAAAACAACCCCAGGCCTCAGAGTGGGGAGTGCATGTTTTTCAAAAACAAAAGTAGGCAAAAACAGCCCACCAGCCCATCTTTCCTGCCCAGGCCCCTGGCTGGGGAGGCCAAGGAGTGGCTTCAGTTGTCCAGCTTCTAGGCCCTCCTCCCTCCCATCAAGACCTGGAAGGAGGGGCTGAGCCAGGGGCAGGCCCCAGAGGCCCAGGCCAGGGCCCGGGCCAGGTCAGCACCTCCGCCCTCCCCACCGAGAGTCAGCACTGGAGCCTTGGGTCTTGTAGTTGTTTCCAGAGCCGAATGCTGGCCTGAGGGCCCAGGGGCCGTATTAGCAGCAGGTTGCGGAAAGCGCAGTGGTCCGCAGTGCGGTCTGCTGGCCAGGCTGTGAGGAAGCCTGGGTGGGCCTGGGGCACCAGGCCCAGGGCTCGGATGCAAAGGCCAGTGTAGACGTCCTCAATGGGGAAGGGTGCCACACGGGCTGCCGCCCGCAGTAGCCAGGGTGCCAGGCGCCCGGCAATGACGTAGCCACCCCCGCTTGCATAGGCTGGGTAGCCACCTTTGAAGAAGGACTCGGGCACATAAAAGGGTCCTCCTGGCTTCCGGAGAGGCATGGCCTGCGTAAAGACCTCACCCAGGTAGAGGTTTCGGGCCGAGGCAGGTGGCAGGGCCCGCAGGTGAGCCAGCAGGGCAGGGGTGTGCACAAAGGCATCATCCTGGGCTCGCAGGACAAAACTCACGGCGGGGCAGTGGCGGCCCAGCCAGGCCAGCAGCAGCAGGTCTTTGAGCGTCTGGTTGAATGGGACGTCGAGGAAGTCCCAGAGCAGCAGGTCACTGTAGCGACGGCTCTCCCAGGCCACTAGTGAGTCTAGGTCAGGCCCCGCCTCACCCACCGGAGACCCTAGCAGGAAGAGCAGCCGGATCCCTGGAGCTGGACTGCCCCACGTCTCCCTCACGGCCTGTCGTTCTGCAAAGCGCCCTGGTTCTGACTTGACGGCCAACAGCAGGTAGGGGACATCAGTATCCGAGCAGCTGGAGACTTGGCCGCCACCACCTCCAGGCAGCCACTGTGGGAAGCTCCGGCAGGCTGCTGACAGCAGGAAACGGCGGAGGTCCTTGGGGTAGGAGGTGAAGTCAGGGATCTCGGCGGCAGCGGCTGCCCCCCAAGCCTGGCAGCCCCCCGTTTCAGTGCTGTCCCCACTGGGCAGGGACCCCAGCCGCCACTGCTGCTGGTTCCAGTAAGCGAAGGGCAGCGGGCCAGTCTGGCCCAGGCGGACGGAGAGGTTGGCAGGTAGGGTGGGCTCAGGGTTGGCTGGTGTGGGGCCTGGCGGGGTGCCCCGAGGGCTGGGGTAGGCCTTGCTGAGCCGGGACTCGGATGTCCACTCGATGTACACTTTGAGGCCCAGGAGTGTGAGCAGTGCTGACAGGCAGAGAAGGCACTTGGGGCAGCGCATGACCTGGCCCAGGGAAGGGGCGGCCGCGGGAGCTACAAGGGAGCCACAGGGGAGCCACGGAGGCCATTGGGGTGTGGGGATGGGCCTCCAGAGAGGGCCCAGCCAGGCCCCAGGCAGACAGCTTCACAATCTCCCATAGTCCCTGCCAACCCCCGTAACAGCTTCTCTCAGTCCCAGATCCTAAACAGCTCCCCTGACCCAGGGACCCCGTTGGTCCTTATTCCTAGACCTAGGAATCCCCCATTCCAGTCCCATTCCAGCACCCTGTTCTTCCCACTCCGTCCAAATGTTTCCACCTTTCTAAGAGCCCAAGGGTCTACCTCTTCCCTGTCTCCATCCAGGACAAGGGACCCTGCCGCCTATCTCCTCCCTCTCCCTCCATTTATCGCCCTCACCAGGAAATCAGGAGCACGATTCCTAGCTCCCTGGGGTTAGAAACCCAGCCTGCCTCCCGCAACATCCCCACCCCAGGGACAGGGGAACCAGGGATCCCACGCCTTTTTACCTCTGGCTCTGGCTCCCACCAGCTCCGGGTGCTGGCCTCAGGTCAGGCCTCCCTCAGCTCCCTCTGATCTGCCTGCCCCAGCCCCTGCGTTGTCGACCGGCCAGGCCCAGCCCTGCCCAGCCAGTCCAGAGGGGCGGGGAGGGGAGCGGAGCGGGAGCAGGGAGGGCCCCAGGGGCCGGGGCGGGGCTGAGGCAGAAGGGAGGGAGGGAGGGAGGGAGGGAGGAGGGCAGGAGGCCGACCTGAGAGATGGAGCTCTGGCGTGTTAGGGCTGGTTTCTGGTAAGACAGCTGGGAAGGGTGCAGGGGGCAGCCACAGAAACAAGACAGGGGCGTTGCGAGGCCTAGGAGGGGAGAACCAGAGCCTGGGGAGGGAGGGGGTACCAGGGAGGGTGAGACTGAGGGCTGGGCCTGGGCTGGGGAGTGTCAGAGTGACCAGGGTGAGGCAGGGTCCCACTGAGGCAGAGTTGGGGAGGCTGAGAGGCTGGCACCCGGCGGCGCCCATGGCCAGGAGGCGGCAGTGAATGTGCTGAGTGGGAAGGGATCGGCGGGCCCGCCAGAGAGAGGGATGTGGGATGTTTGTTGTCGCTGCCCAGTCAGGGTGGTGGGGGGAAGGCGCTGGTGAGGAGGAGAGACAGAGACATTGTGGAGAGGGAAGGGACGGCCGGGAGCAGAGAGAGGAGAACTGGGGTGAGACAGGCGATGGAGAGAGCTGAGGGGGAGAGAGAAGACAGGAAAAGTGGGAAGGTGGCCAGGAGGGAGAGGGGGAGGGAAATGGAGATCCGAGAAAGATAAGGGGTTGCGGAAGCCCTGTGGGGTGCTCACAGGGGAAAGAGAGGTTGAGAGAGGCAGATGGAGGGCAGAGGGGAGGGACTCAGGCTTCTGAGCCAGGCCCGGGGAGTGAGTGGCGGAGAGGGAGCCAAGGGGAAGAACAGGAGAGGAAAAGACTGGAGCTTCAAGGGCAATAGAGGGTGACAGGGTGGGGCCCACAGGGAACCGGGAGCTAAGCTGACCCCCTGTACCTCCTCCATCCTAAGCTGACCCCTGTACCTCCTCCACCCGGGCTGCCTGCCAGCAGGGTGGGAATCCGTTCCTACCTTACCCCCAACCTCCAGCCCTCTGGAACAGGGCCAGCCTCGCCCTGGGCCCCGCCCCTCCCCCAGGGGCGCTGTGACTCTGGGAACACTCACATCCAGCTCCCTGGGGCAGGAGAGGGTGTCTGCCTGTGTTTGCGTCCCTGCCCTCCAGAGGTCCCTGCTGTTGGTACTGCATCAGCTCTCTGAAGACCTCCCAAGACATGGGGTGGGACTAAGGGGCTCCCACTAAGCCTGGGCTGACCCCTTCACTCCACCCTCGTTTTGGGGCAGGCCTGTCCCCATGATGGCAGGAACCCAGTCTGTCAGCAGCAGCAGTTGATCTGTCCAGCCCTGATTTCCTCCCCCCAAGTTTGAATAATGGAGCCTGTGGGAACAGCTGGAGGAAGAGAGTGGGGAGGAAGTGGTGAATGTTAATGGAATAATAGCTGGAGTGGGAAATGACAGCTAGGGGCTGGGGGCAGGAGCCTGAGCACCTCTTGAGGGAGTCTGCAAGTTCACTCTACCCTGGGGCTGGGAGAGAGGGACTCCAGACCCCTGAGCTCATCTAGCTTCTGGTGGCAGGGGGTGCTGCTCTTCCTGGAAGCATTAGGAAGCTTCGGAGAGTGCCTTTCTTTTTGCCTTTGCCGTGTGCCTCAGTCTGGGTCCAATCAGGAGAGAGAAACCACACAGGAATGGGAATAGGGAAAGTTCAATATACAGAATGATTAACTCTACTATGGGATTGGCCAGTAAGGGGTGCCTTCTTGGGGAACATGGTTGGAGGGTGGACATGCTGGTGGAACATGATCATTCCAATCCAACACTTCCATCTCCCCAAGCCTTGGGACTCCCCTCATCCATCTTACGCTAGGGCAGTTCTGGTCTCTCTGCCTCATTAACTTTAGGCCACTGTTGGATCCAAGTTCCGGTTAGGTACCCAAGCAAGCTATTAGAACCACGTCCAGCTGCACAAGGTAACCCATGAAATCCAGAAGCTCTAGAAAGCACACTCATGCCAGTAAATTTGGCCTGAGCTAGTGTTACATCCACCCTCATTGGTGTCACATCCTTAAAATCCACTTCTGCATGCATTCCCCAAGTTTCTGACTCTGTATTATTTGCGAAGTCTTGTCATTCTCATCGTGTAAAAGCTGGCACCTGTCCACCTGGAGCAAGCTGATTTGACCCTAGGTATTTATGGGTCTAGAGGCAGCAAGGGGCGCTTGTGGTGAGTCTTAAGAAGAAAGGGGTGTATCCATTATTTTTGTGTAAGAGCTGGCCATGAGAAAAAAAAACTGGGGTGGGACAGTGGCTCACCCCTATAATCCCAGTACTCTGGGAGGCCAAGAGGGGAGGATCACTTGAGCCCAGGAGTTTGAGACCAGCCTGGGCAACATAGTGAGATCTTATCTCTAATTAAGAAAAAAAAAAAAAAAGAATGGACAACCACTTTCAAGGTGTCTGCCCCTGGTGAGGTCATCACAAGGTTTCTTCTTTTTTTTTTTTTTGAGACGGAGTCTCACTCTGTCACCCAGGCTGGAGTGCAGTGGTGTGATCTCCGCTCACTGCAAGCTCTGCCTCCCAGATTCACACCATTCTCCTGCCTCAGCCTCCCGAGTGGCTGGGACTACAGGCACCTACCACCATGCCCAGCTAATTTTTTTGTATTTTTAGAAGAGATGGGGTTTCATCGTGTTAGCCAGGATGGTCTTGATCTCCTGACCTCATGATCTGCCCGCCTTGGCCTCTCAAAGTGCTGGGATTGTAGGCATGAGCCACCGTGCCCGGCCTCTTGTTTTTTTGAGGTAGAGTCTTGCACTGTTGCCCAGGCTGGTGTGCAGTGGTGTGATCTCAGCTCACTGCAACCTCTCTGCCTCCTGGGTTTAAGTAATCCTCCTCCTCGGGAGGGTTCAGCCTCCCAAGTAACTAGGATTACAGGCACCCGCCACCACGCCCAGCTAATTTTTTTGTATTTTTAGTAGAGATGGGGTTTTACTATGTTGGCCAGGCTGGTTTTGAACTTCTGACCTCATGATCCACCTTCCTTGGCCTCCTGAAGTGCTGGGATTACAGGCGTGAGCCCCTGCGCCGGGTCACATCACAGGGTTTCTAAGCAAAGGAAGGCTGGTAGGTTTCTCAGACACTGATAAGTCACTCGCTTGAAGTGACTTGGGGGTTCAAGATTGTCTGTTTACTCTGGGTCCAATTAGATGACCCCATTCCAAAGAAGTAAAAACTTTTGGGCCGGGCATGGTGGCTCGTACCTGTAATCCCAGCACTTTGGGAGGCTGAGGCAGGCGGATCACCTGAGGCCAGGAGTTTGAGAACAGCGTGGCCAGCATGGCAAAATGCTGTCTCTACTAAAAATACAAAAATTGGCTTGGTGTGGTGGTGCGCGCCTGTAATCCCAGCTACTTGGGAAGCTAAGGCAGGAGAATCGCTTGAAACCGGGAGGTGGAGGTTGCAGTGAGCCAAGAGATCGCACTACTGCACTCCAGCCTAGGCGACATAGCGAGACTCTGTCTCAAAAACAAAAAAACAGAAAACAAAAATTGGGGGGCTGTCATGGAAGCTGTCTAGTTCTCAGACTGTGACTTGAGCTGAGTTAGCAGAGCCACGCTTGTCACTGTCTGTGGGCACTCAGGGGCACTCTGGAGAATCCATCCAATACCCTGGTCTTTAGAATTGTCACAACTACCACAGCTGTTGAGCGCAGCAGCCACAGGGAGGCACGTGCCTCATCTCTGTCAACCACAGGCGCTTGTGGGATTATGATGCCATTGCACGCAGTGGGCCTCTGGCATCTGGTTTCCCATCAGCAAGAGCTCAGCACTGCGCCCAAGCCCAAAGGCACAACCAAACCAATCCTGGAATCCTATCTTAATAGTCTATTCCTGGGACACTCCAGGTATCAACTCTGTATTCATTAGGATGCAGTCAGGAGAGAAAAACCACAGAGTAACTTGAACAGGGAAAGTTTAATATAGAGAATTACTGGCTTTAACAGTGAACTGGAATAATGAGGGCTTCACTGGTGAAATGCTTCTGAATTGACTGGAAATCCATCTGGGGTGCTGGGGAATGTTATTCCCAGAGAGGTGCCTCAGTGGAGGTGCTGTGTCTCCTACGCAACTTCTGGGGGCTGGAGGGTGCCAAGGGCAGCTGCTGACCGCCTGGTGCTTCAGGAGCTGGGTGCTGGGGAAGCCACACGTACCGCGGGGTCCAGAGGCAGAAGCACAACCAACAGGAACCAGGAAGGAGGAGGCGCCTTTCCTCCTGTAATGCCTGTTTGGTGCCCTCTACTGACAAAGCTTATCCCCCTTCCAAAGAAACGCAGACCAAAAAAGCTGAATTTGGAATATAAAGTCAATAAATCCATAACCAGCAATACCATGGGGCCTGGGGGTGTGCTGGCCTTTAGTGAGTGGGGCAAAGGATGCTGCACATCCTATAGTGAGCAGAGAGGCCCTGTATGGGGGAGAACCATCCCTGTAAAGTGTCAGTAGCAGCTCCTGTGTCAGTCAGGGTCACTGCAAGAAATGGCAGTGCACTCACATAAGGACAGTTTGAGAAGAGTCTCTTGACAAGGTGAGTGTGGCTCTCTGCAGCTACTGACAGCCTGAGACTTTACCTCCCCAGGCCTGAAGAGGGGCATGGAAAGGGCTGTCTGAAAGAGTGACAGGAGCTGTGACCTTTAGCCAAGGGCAGTCAGGAATAAATACTGGGACTTCATGCTCTCTCCCTGTGATTGGCCAGCACCATTCCCCCACCCCCATGTTGAGTGAAGACAAATGGAAGCCAGAAGTGTGGCGAGCTACCAGACATTCCATGCAGCCCGCTGAGAAGCCACTCGAGTGGGGACAGGGCTGAAGGCTAGGCAGGGACAGGGCTGGCTGTGTCCTGAGGCTGCTCCTCTGGCCCCAACTTCAGGCCCTCAGCCCAGTCGACCCCCACAACCTGGCAATTGGGCAGCATCTCCTCCACCAAGATCTGAGTGAGGCCTGGGTTGGACACGGCAGGGAGGTCCGAGATGTCCAGCCTGCGGAGGTTCCTGAAAAAGGGGGAGAAGGACAGGAAGCCAGTGTAAGGACTGTGTGTGTGTGTGTATAGGGAGGTACTGGCCCCAAATTTCAACCTTAGCTTCCTCAAATAAAATCTTTATAGCTGTCCAGGCACACGAAGCCCAGTGTGTTAACTGCAAATATGCAACTCTAGCTCCTACTGTTCTGCAACAGCATCGATATCATAGAGTTTTGACTAAAACAAAAAGGAAGAAAAACCAGGAGTCATTTAATTCTTCCAGAGACTCACTGTGACTGCTCATCTACCACAAATACTCTAGGTCTGTGATGGAGGCAGGGGGATATGAGAACTGCCCAACACTGCTCCTCCCCACTTCCTCTCCTGAGTCTGTGTGAGGTGGGAGAGGTGCCTGCATACGGGGCCCAGCCTGAGCTGAGGTCTCACTGGAGGTGGTGGAGGCAGGCAAGGCCCCGTTCGGAGACGCGGGGACAACCGGCCAGCGAGAGCTCCTGCAACGAGTCGGCCAGTGGGTAGAGGCGGCTGAGACACCAGTCGTCCACGTGGGGGCAGCGCTGCAGCGACAAGGACTGGAGCTCCTTCAGGAGCACTGTGGTAGGGAGAGGGCAGGATGGCACCAGGAGCCTTTCTGGAGCCCATCACCAAAGGGAAAACGTGGAGGCCTGTCCCATCTCCACCCCACCGCACTCACGGAGGTTGTCCAGGCCCTCGTAGTTGATTTCACAGTCACTGGCATCCACAGCTTCGACAGGCACTTCCCGGAAATTCCAGAACTCTGGAGAGAAATGGCCATACTTATCGGGCCTGATCCACTCCTTGTCTCGAAACCTGGAAACGGGAGAGGGAGTGTCAGTAGGGCAGCCGAACCTGCCCCAGGCCTCCAGCCTCTTCGGAACCTTCCCCAGCCCTATATAATATGTATAGGTCACCCCTGACATAACTAACTCCATCTTAGAAAAAGACTCCATCTGGCTGTGCGCAGTGGCTCACGCCTGTAATCCCAGCACTTTGGGAGGCCGAGGCGGGAGAATCACTTGAGTTCAGGAGTTTGAGACCAACCTGGGCAACATAGTGAGACCTCGTCTCCACAAAAAAACACAAAAATTAGCTGGCCTTGGTGGCTTGCACCTGTGGTCTCAGCTACTTGGGAGGCTGAGGTGGGAGGATTGCTTGAACCCAGGAGGTCGAGGCTGTAGTGAGTTGTGATCATGCCACTGTGCTCTAGCCTGGGAGACACTGTCTCAAAAAACAAATAAAAAGGAATGTTTTGCCAATTTTACATACCTAGAAACTGAGGGTCAGCAAGATTACAGATAACATAATAGCAAAGAGGTAAATGCAAGAATCCTTGTAGATAGGCAAAAGTTACGGGACATTTTCAAACATGTATACTGTTTCTAAGGAAGTTGCCAGAGGAAGTGCTCAAACCAGATGGAGGGGTAGATGAAGTCTATGTGAACTGTCTTTTCCGAAAAAGAAAAAAAGCAAAGGAAAGAGAAAGGGAAGGAGAAAGGAGGCGGGGAAGGAGGAAAGAAAGAAAAACAGTATTGAGCACAGGCCAGGTGCTGCCAGTGGCTCATGCCTGTAATCCCCAGCAATTTGGGAGGCCAAGGTGGGTGGATCACTTGAGGTCAGGGGTTGGAGACCAGCCTGGCCAACACGGTGAAATCCTGTCTCTACCAAAAATACAAAAAATTAGCCAGGCATGGTGGTATGCGCCTATAATCCCAGGTACTTGGGAGGCTGAGGCAGGAGAACTGCTTGAACCCAGGAGGTTGCAGTGACCCAAGATTGTGCCATTGCACTCCAGCCTGGGCGACAGAGCAAGACTCTGTCTCAAAAAAAAAAAAAAAAAAATAGTGAGCACATATGCATTGCTAGGCCTCTTACATCGCAAAATCACAGTCAATCTCTCACTCTCTCTGACAGGGTCTCACTGGGTAGCTGGGATTACAGGCATGCACCACCATGCCTGGGTAATTTTGTATTTTTGGTAGAGACGGGATTTCACTATGTTGCCAAGGCTGATCTTGAACTCCTGGCTCAAGTGCTGTACCTGCCTTGGCCTCTCAAAGTGCTTGGGACTACAGGCGTGAGCTACCACGCCCAGCCATTATTATTATTATTTTGAGACACAGTCTTGCTTTGTCGCCCATGCTGGAGTGCAGTGGCGCGATCTCGACTCACTGCAACCTCTGCCTCCCGGCTTCTAAGGGATTCTCCTGCCTCAGCCTCCTAAGTAGCTGGGATTAGAGGCATGCGCCACCATGCCAAGCTAATTTTGTATTTTTAGTAGACAGGATTTCACCATGTTGGCTAGGTTGGTCTCGAACTCCTGACCTCAGATGATCCACCAGCCTTGGCCTCCCAAAGTGCTGGGATTACAGGTGTGAGCCACTGTGCCCTGCCTATTATTATTTTTTGTGACAAGGTCTCGCTCTATTGCCCAGGCTAGAGTTCAGTGGTGTGACTATAGCTCACTGTAGCCTCCTGGGCTGAAGCGATTCTCCTGCCTCAGCCTCCTGAGTAGTTGGGACCACAGGCATGTGCCACTGCACCTGGCTAATTTAAAATATTTTTTGTAGAGACAGGGTCTCACAAAACTGCTGAGGCTGGTCTCAAACTCCTGGCCTCAAGTGACCTTCCTGTCTCGGCCTCCCAAAGTGCTGGGATTACAGACACGAGCCACTGTGCCCAGCTCCGTTCAGTCTTTTTTTTTTTTTTTTTTTTTTTGACACTTTTGAGACAGAGTCTTGCCCTGTCCCCTAGGCTGGAGTGCAGTGGTGCAATCTCGGCTCACTGCAACCTCCGCCTCCTGGGTTCAAGCGATTCTCCTGCCTCAGCCTCCCCAGTAGCTGGGATTACAGGCGCCCGCCACCACACACCCAGCTAAGTTTTGTGTTTTTAGTAGAGACGGGGTTTTGCCATTTTGGCCAGGCTGCTCTCGAACTCCTGACCTTAGGTGATCCGCCCACCCTGGCCTCCCAAAGCGTTGGGATTACAGGCGTGAGCCACCATGCCTGGCCCCCATTCAGTCTTTATAGCAAAACTTGTAGGTTAGAAATGATCACCATCCCATTTTACACATGGCAAAACTGAAGCTCAGGAACAAGTCCCAAGCTACACAGCCAGAAGGTGGCAGAGACCAGGGGACTCTGAAGCCTGTGTGACTGCAGAGCCTGGACGTTAGAGAGATACCCCACCACCTGCCCCCAGCCCGTTCTAACACCTTAGCGGTCATACTTGACTGCGCCTCCTTGCTTCAGGATGAAAAAGGCACCTGCACTGTATGGACCATGTTGCTCCTCCAGCCAGGTGAAGGATCTGCAGAAAAAACGGTAGCTAAGGGTGAGGCATGGGGAGCACCACAGCCCTCACGATGCCCCAGTGCTGTTAAGAGGGGCAGAGTCCAGCAAACCAGGCATGCAGACAGAGTCAGGCTGAAAATATATATTGCCCACCTACTAAGTGCTGGGCACTGGGGGCAAAGTGGTGACCAAGGTAGATAACATCCCTGCCCAGTCTGGAGATTAGTGCAGTAATCCAAGCCATTATACAGGGAGAAACAGGTAACAACCCAGGAAATAACAGCAAATTGCAAAGAATGTCAATTCCATGACTAAATAAAGCAGAGAGGCTGACTGGGAGGGGTGGGAACCAGAGGGGTGGGGACGGTGGAGGCTGAGTTTGGGTGTTAATTGGAGGAGGTGACATTTGAGCAGAGATTTGAGTGGTGAGAAGGAACAGAGTATAAAGGCTCAGAGACTCAAATTAGGATGGCTGAATAAATAAGAAATAGGGGTGTTGCCGGGCGCGGTGGCTCACACCTGTAATCCCAGCACTTTGGGAGGCTGAGGCGGGAGAATCACAAGGTTGGGAGATCAAGACCAAGGTGAAACCCTGTCTCTACTAAAAATACAAAAAAAATTAGCCAGGCGCGGTGGTGGGCACCTGTAGTCCCAGCTATTCAGGAGGCTGAGGCAGGAGAATGGCGTGAACATGGGAGGCGGAGCTTGCAGTAAGCCAAGATTGCGCCACTGCACTCCAGCCTGGGCAACAGAGCGAGACTCAGTCTCAAAAAAAAAAAAAAGAAAAGAAAAAGAAAAAGAAAAAAAAAAAAGAAATTGGGATGTCATGCTGACAGGGGGCCAGTGGAGTCCTGGTCGGGGGGGTCTCAAAGCTCAGTAGGGGCTATGTTTTAGGCCTTGGAGATTGGTTCTCATTTGAAGGTTTTGAGCTGGTGATGATAAGATTCCTTGAGCTGCTTTGTAGATTATGAAAAAGTATGGGACAGGCCAGGTGTTGTGGCCTACACCGGTAATCCCAGCACTTTGGGAGGCTGAGGCAGGTGGATCATCTGAGGTCAGGAGCTCAAGACCAGTCTGGCCAACATGGTGAAACCCCAGCTCTACTAAAAATAGAAAAATTAGGCATGGTGGTGTGTGCCTGTAATCCCACCTACTTGGGAGGCTGAGGCGGGAGAATTGCTTGAACCCGGGAGGCGGAGGTTGCAGTGAGCCATGATCACACCACTGCACTCCAGCATGGGAGAACAGCGAGACTCCGTCTCAAACAAAACAAATTTTGGCCAGGCGTGGTGGCTCATGCCTGTAATCCCAGCACTTTGGGAGGCCGAGGCAGGCTGATCACCTGAGGTCAGGAGTTTGAGAGCAGCCTGGCCAACATGGCGAAAACCCGTCTCTACTAAAAATACAAAAATTTGCCGGGCCTGGTGGCAGGTGCCTGTAATCCCAGCTACTCGGAAAGCTGAGGCAGGAGAACTGCTTGAACCCGGGAGGCAGAGGTTGCAGTGAGCTTAGATTGTGCCACTGCACCCCAGCCTGGGAGACAGAGCAAGACTCCGTCTCGGGAAAAAAAGAAAAAAAAAAAAGAGTATAGGAACAAAAAACCAGTTATTGAGTGATTCAATTATAAAACGAAGGGACTTGGATCAGGTTATGAATGGTGAAGGCAGTGAGAACTGGTCAAATCAGAGATATTCTAGTATTTTATTGATGGTCTGGATGTGGAGGGCAGGGAAGCAAAGAGAGGAATTAGGGATGACTCCTTAGAATTTGGCCTGAACAGGCCAGGCACGGTGGCTCAGGCCTGTAATCCCAGCACTTTGGGAGGCCGAGGCAGACAGATCACAAGGTCAGGAGATCGAGACCATCCTGGCTAACATGGTGAAATCCCATCTCTACTAAAAATACAAAAAATTAGCCGGGCGTGGTGGCGGGCACCTGTAGTCCTGGCTACTCAGGAGGCTGAGGCAGGAGAATGGCGTGAACCCGGCAGGCGGAGCTTGCAGTGAGCTGAGATTGCACCTGGGTGATAGAGTGAGACTCCGTCTCAAAAAAAAAAAAAAAAAAAAAAGAAAAAATAATTTGGCCTGAACAACTGGGTGGGCAGCACTAGCGTTTACTGGGATGGGAAGGCTTGGGAGTGAGCAGATGTTTTTTGGGGAGAAATCAGGGTTTGGTTTTAGCCATGTTAGGTTTGAGATGCCAGTTAGACTCTGAGTGGAGCTGGTGGGTGGCAGGCTGCCTATGTGAGCTGGAGTCCTTGAGAAGGGTACAGGTTGGAGATAGAGCTGCAAGAGACAACAAGGCTGGCACTGGAAGCCACAGTGCTGCCTGCGAATGGCAAGGACAGGACCTGGGCTCTGGTGGGCCAGGGTCTCCGCAGGGTCTTGCAGGCCAGGGATTCTCACCGATTTTTCAGATGCACCTTGGACATCTCCCTTTGGAACAAGTAACCCCTCAGAGCCTCCACATCGTAGAAATGGTTGGTCAGGAACTGGAGCATCGTCCTTTCCTTCTTCTGATTGCCCTCTGGGACCACTGCCCCACCCAGGCGATGGATGCCCCTGGTCCCATTCAACATGGGGGCCACCAGGCGCAGGGACTGGGGAGGGGGAGAGGAAAGGAGCTGAGCCTGGAGCCTCCTGGGAGACACAGAGCTGGATCCCCCAGTTCTTGCTCCATGAACCTCAATCCCTCTGATTCCCAACTCGCCCTAAGTTCTTCCTTCAAAACTTCAAAATTGTCTGAGATTCCAAAAATTTTCCCATGTTTTTTCCAAGTTCCTCCTCCCCTTAGTCAACCCTAAATTCTCTCCTTGACTAGGCATATACTGTTGATTTTCCTAAATTCTTCCTCTAACTTTCCCCCAAACTCTTATTACTCAAAACCTGCATTATTTGACCTCTTAATTTCCCATAGATTTGCCCCTTAATTACCCAGTTCTTCTCCTGGGGTTTTCCCGTTTTCCCAAATGACTTCTTTCGCCAAAATATAATCTTAAAAACGTATCTCCAAACCTCATGGAGAGGGCGCTCTGAGCAATCCCTAAACCCAACCAAGCTTGTCCAATCCGCCGCCTGCATGCAGCCCAACACAAACATGCAAACTTTCTTAAAACATTAGGAGGATTTTTTTGTGTGATTTTTTTTTTTTTTTTTGACTCATCAGTTATGGTTAGTGTATTTTATGTGTGGCCCAAGACAATTCTTCTTCTTCGAACAACGTGGCCCAGGGAAGCCAAAAGATTGGACACCCCTGAACCGAGAAGGGTAAAAAAAGCATGAGCTTTGAAGAGGAGAGTAAGAAAGTGGAGAGGTGTGGCCACAGGGAAGAAGCCCCCAAACGCTTCAATTTTGCTTTCAAGGTCTCCTCTTAATCTACCCCAGTTTCTCTTTGCTTTAACCAATTTTTTTTTTCAAATTCTGTCGATAATTTTACCCACACCCTTATTTTCCTTAAAAATTTGAAGCTGCCAACCTCTTTAATTTTCCCTAAATTCATTCCTTGATTTTACCCAATTCTTTCTAAATCCTCTGAAAGAATATCTCAAATTCTGCTCTTAATTTCACCCAGATCATGCCCTTGGAACCCCCAAATTGACCTCTTGGTTCCCCCGCCCATCATGCTTTTGAGTTTTCTGTAAAAATTAGGCAATTTCCCACGACCTTTTCTTACATTTATCCTTCGGTCTCCTAGGACCAAATCCCACATCCTTAATCCCTTTCAAGCCCTCTTATCCTACAGGCCCCACCCTTGCCTGTCCATTAGCTCCTTGTGTCATCCCTCCCTCTGATTGGTTAGTCGCGTCGCTCTTCGGGAGGTCACTCCCTCATCCCCACTGGATACTCTCAGCCAAGTCCCTGCCTCGCTAAAGCGTCTCCTCCGCCTGTGACCCCCACAGATCCTTCCTGGCCCCCAACAGCCACAGGTTTGCACTCCCAGTACGGGGCTTGCCAGTCTTAGCCCGCTGCCTCACGGCTTTTTGCTCTCGTGGCCGCCAACAGAGGCTTGAATGCGGAGGCTGCAGAGCGGACTTCAAATTTAGGGCTCTAGAACTTCGGTCACTTACCACCCAGGGAGCCGCCATCTTGCTAAGATTACGTAACCGGAAGGGGTCGGTCTTATCCCACTAGCCTGGGCCAGTGCGAACTTATTCTCCTGTGGCCACGCCCCGCGTCTTCTAACCGTCCTCTTAAAGGTGCACGCACTTTTTACTCTCCTAGGGTTTAGGGATTGCTCACAGCGCCCTCTCTCTGAGCTTCAAAACCAGACACAGGCCGGGCGCGGTGACTCACGCACCTGTGAGCCCAGCACTTTGTGGAGGCTGAGGCGAGAGCATCGCTTGAAGCCAGAAGTTCAAGACCAGCCTGGGCAACATTGGGGAGACCTTATCTCCACAAAAAAATAGGGAAACAAAAAATAAAATATTAGCCGGGCATGGTGGTGTATGCCTGTGGTCCCAGCTACTTATGAGGCTGAGGCGGGAGGATGCTTGAGCCAGGGAGGTCGAAGTTGCAGTGAGCTGTGATTGCGCCACTGCACTCCAGCCTGGGTGACACAGCAGACGCTGTCTCTTAAAACAAAAAGTTGAAAAACAAAACAAAACAAAAAAACAGGACTCCACAATCTTTCCCTAGGAGAAGATGGGGTGTCCTTCCCGGCAGAGTCTCTTTCTTTCGTGACTGCAATTGCAGTCTCCCTGAGCTTTCTTGTTCTTCCAGCTTCCTCTTTAAAACAGGGAATGAGGGGGCCGAAAAGCTGACCACGTCATTTTTTAAAATTAGGGTCAGGTAAGAGAAAGAGTGGGTGAAGAGGTTAGACTTCAAGGTTAGAGACTGAGGTGAGATCTCAAGACCAGTTCGGAGTTCAAAGCTAGATAGCCGCATGCAGAGCCATTGTGAAGTCTTGTGGATAGCAGTATTCATTCATTCATTCCAAGAATATTTACTGAACACTTACCACATGATGGCAGGCACTGTTCTAGGTGCTGAGATTACCATAGTGAGCAGGACAGACCCAGTCCCTCTCTCAGGGAGTCAACATTCTGGGCTGGGACAGCATGGATGTGGGAGAGGATGGATAAGAAACAAAGGAATCAGCAAGATAATTTTGATAATAAGCAGATTAAAAAAAGTGACTGGGGCGTAGGGCCATCAGCAAAGGCCTCTCTGAAGAGGTGACATTGAAGTGGAAGTGAATGATAAGGAAAGAGCCATTCAAAGATCTAAGGGAAAAGAGCTGCAGGGAGAGGTAGCCTCTAGAGCAGAGAGACCTTGAGGTGGGAACCAGCTTGTAGACAGAGATAGGAGACTGGGTTAAGAGGTGGGCAGGGGCTGACGGTGCAGGCCTGGTAGGGTTTTATTCTATTCACAGTGGGAAGAAGGGAGTGTTAAAATCGGATTTACGTTTTGTAAAGATTCTCTCTGCCAGGTGGAGAATGTACCTTAGAGCAGTGGTCCCCAACCGTTTTGTTACCAGGAACTGGTTTCGTGGAAGACAATTTTTCCATAGACCAGGGGGCAGGATGTGGGGTGGGGATGGTTTTGGGGTGAAACTGTTCCACCTGAGATCATCAGGCATTAGATTCTCATAAGGAGCAGGCAACCTCGATCCCCCACACGCACAGTTCACAGTAGGGTTTGCCTCCTATGAGAATCTAATGCCACCGCTGATCTGACAGGAAGCGGAGCTCAGGCGGTAATGCTCACTTACCTGCTGCTCGTCTCTTGCTGTGTGGCCCAGATCGTAACAGGCCAGGGGCTCGTACTGGTTCTCGGCCCAGGGATTGGGGAACCTTGTCTTAGAGGGCAAGGGTGGACGCAGGGGACCAGTACAAGAGGCTACTGTAACAGTCTAGGCAAGAGATGAATGGGGATGGGGCAGAGGAAATGGTGAGAAGTGCTCAAATCCTGGATCTGTTTTGAAGGTTAAGCCAATAGATTGAGAAACCAAAAGCAGACTGGCATGGCTGTGCACATGAGGAAACTGAAAGAGCAGCAGGTTTAGGAGGGTGGGTGTGGCGGCTGAATAACGGACCCTCTCCCCCAGATACTCATACCTGTGAATCCCTGGATGCTGTGACTGTGTTACTTTCTATGGTAAAAGGGACTTGGGGCTGGGCGCGGTGGCTCACGCCTGTAATCCCAGCACTTTGGGAGGCCAAGGTGGGTGGATCACCTGAGTTCGGGAGTTCGAGACCAGCCTGGCTAACATGGTGAAACCCAGTCTCTACTAAAAGTAAAAAAATTAGCTGGGTGTGGTGGTGCATGCCTGTAATCCCAGCTACTCTGGAGGCTGAGGTGGCAGAGTCGCTTGAACCTAGGAGGTGGAAGTTGCAGTGAGGTTGCAGTGAGCCGAGATTGTGCACTGCACTCCAGCCTGGCTGACAAAGTGAGACTCTGTCTCCAAAAGGGACTTTGAAGACGTGACAAAGTTAAGAATCTTGAGATGGGAGATTACCCTTACCATGGGCAATTGGGTAGGTCCAATATAATCACAAGGGGCCTCTCAGAGGGAGACAGGAGGGTCAGCATCAACAGGAGATGTGATGATCATAGATAGAGAAGGTTGGGGTGATGAAGGAAGGGGCTAAGAGCCAAGGAAGGCAGGTGGCTTGCAGAAGCTGGAAGAGACTAAGAAATAGGCAGTCTTCTAGAGACTCAAGAAGCGACCCAGCCCTGTGCACCCACCTTAGACTTCTGACCTCCAGAACTGTAACGGTGACTTTGTGTTGTTTTAAGATTGTGGTCATTTGTTACAGCAGCAACAGGAAATGCATCCGATGATGGGGCTCCCAACTGAGAGTTCTGTGTTGACCACATTCACATTGAGGTGTCTGAGACACCCTGGTGGAGCTGAAGTAGAGGAGCGGCAGGACTCATTTCCTGGTCCTGACAGGATAGAATAAATAAAGTGTCCGGAACCAGCAAATGACATAAAGGCAACCTCTAGTTGCCCTCACTGCTCATCGGCTTAAGGCACTCCCACCAGCGCCATGACAGTTTACAAATGCCATGGCAACACCCAGAAGTTACCACCCTTTTCTAGATTTCTGAATAGCCCACCCCTTAATTTGCGTGTAGTTAAAAGTGAGTATAAATACTGCCAGCCAACAGCCCACGTGCTGCTACTCTGGGTAGCCTTACTCTGCCAGGAGCTGTCCTTCTGCTGTACACAGCTGCTTCAGTAAACCTGCTTTCTTCCACGGCTTGCTCCCTTGCTCTTGAATTCTTAGTTGAGTGGAGCCAAGAAACCTCCAGGGCTAAGCCCCAATTTGGGGACTCACCTGCCCTTCATCAGGGCTGCAGAATTAGGGTGTGGAACTCAAGGGAGAGATCAGGACTGAGGCCAAACATTTGGAAGCCAGTGACATATACATGAAATTGGCTGGGACTGGTGGCTTACGCCTGTAATCCCAGCACTTTGGGAGGCCGAGGTAGGCTGATCACCTGAGGTCAGGGGTTTGAAACCAGCCTGGCTAACGTGGTGAAACCCCGTCTCCACTAAACATACAAAAATTAGCCAGGTGTGGTGGCGTGCACCTATAACCCCATCTGCTCAGGAGGCTGAGGCAGGGGAATCGCTTGAACCCGGGAGGCAGAGGTTGTAGTGAGCCAAGATTGCACCACTGCAGTCCAGCCTGGGCGACAGAGCGAGACTCCGTCTCAAAAAAAAAAAAAATTATCTATATAATTAAATTAATTAATTCATTTATTTATTTTGAGATGGAGTCTTGCTCTGTCGCCAGGCTGGAGTGCAGTGGCGTGATCTCGGCTTTCCGCAACCTCTGCCTCCCGGGTTCAAGCTATTCCACTGCCTCAGCCTCCAGAGTAGCTGGGACTACGGGCGCACGCCAGCATGCCTGGCTAATTTTTTGTATTTTACTAGAGACGGGGTTTCACCCTGTTGCCAGGATGGTCTAGATCTCCTGACCTTGTGATCTACCATTATATATATATATATATATAAGCACCTTGGGTCTGAAGGAAGGGTTCAAGGCCGAGAGAGGCCTGCAGTGCTTCCTAGACTTTTCCACAGCAGAAGCCCCACCCTCAGCAAGGATGATATACCCATAGGCAAGTCCAGGGTCAGCAGAATTGGCTGCTTGGCCTTAGGCCAGCAGCCTGGACACAGGCACTCCAGCTGAGGGATTGCTCTGTTGGTGCCCCTGGGAGCCATTCCTGCCCCCAAAGGCACACTGGTGGGAAAGCCCTGGGATGACCTGTGCTGAGAGGACAAGCAAGAACCAAGCTATGGGGAAGCCAGAGGTCAAATGGAGGCTGAGGAGAGGCTGGAGAGGCGGTGGTGGTGGGGGGCAGGTGGAAGGACAGAGGGTGCCAGGCATCTACAGACACTGAGCGCCCCTGAGGGGTCAGACCTGAGAGAGGCAGGGAGGGGCAAAGTTTGACCTCTGCAAGAGACTGTGTTTGAACCCTTTGACCAGAGTTGAGGTTAGACTTCAGAAGGAAAAACAAAAGCACAAGGCCAGCTGATTTTCTCTGAAGAGTGGACTTTGGGATACCTTTGCCAGGAACCCCCATCCCACTCCCTCTGCCCTTTACTCTCCACCACGCACACAGCTCCCTGGGGGACCGGGCCACCCTGGACCTTGCTACTTCCTGCTCCTGGCAGCCATAGCTCAGAGACCATGGAGCTGTGGAGGCAGCTGAGTCAGGCTGGACTGGTGCCTCCAGGGCTGGGCCCACCCCCCCAGGCCCTGAGGGAGGTCCCACCAGTGGAAATCCCTGGTCAGACCCTCAGGACTGCAGGGACAGACACTGGAGGTGCCTGGGATAGTCTGCTGTGGATCAGGGAGGAGCTGGTGAGTGAGGGGTTTGGAAGGGAAAGAGAGAGAGAGAGAGAGTAAATGAGAATGAATGGAAATGAAGGAAAATAGAGAGGGCCAGAGATTGAAAGACAGAATCTGAGAGACAGAAGCAGAGACATGAGAGGCATGTACAGACAGAAAGACAGACATAGAGTGAGGGACGGGAACAGAGGTGGGACAGGGAGATCCCAAAAGAGAGGGACAGAGGTGGGAAGCAGAGACTGAGAGCAGGAACAGAGACAGAGGGACTCAGACTGAATTTGAGAAAGTTGAGGAGGGCGGAGACAGGGCAAGCGAGAGAAAGAGAGCCAAAGGCAGGGGCAGAGAAATAGCAAAACAGAGACAGAGAGACAGGGGCATGGAAAGAAAAAAAATAAATGGGGACAGAGACAGACAAAGAGAAACAGAGACAGAGATAGGTAAGAGAGGGAGGAGACATATTACTGAGAAACAGAGAAGTCAGGGACAATGAAATGGAGAGACAAAGACAGAGACAGAGTTAGAGATCAAGATACACTCTGAGAAGCAGGAAGGCAGTTAGGATCCATGGGCACAGTGAGGACCCTGCCCGGGCACCATGGCCAGGACATGAGTTGGGACCTGCTCTCATCCAGGTCCTGGCAAGACCCTTGCTCTCTGGGGTGGCATCCCTGTGACGTCCCCTTCCTACCGGCAGGAGAACCTGCGCCGAGTTGATGTCCAGCTGCTGGGACAGCTGTGCAGCCTGGGGCTGGAGATAGGGGCGCTGCGGGAGGAACTGGTCACCATATTGGAGGAGGAGGAGGAGAGCAGCGAGGAAGAGGAGGAGGATCAAGAGCCCCAGTGGAAGCAGGAGGAGGAACACCTGGAGGCCTGCCCAGCCCCACACCCCCCTGACTTTGAGATGATGATCTGAGGCTCTGCCAGTGCATTTAGGTTGACATACAAATTAGATGCAAGTGTATGCAAAGGGGAGGGGAGATTTGCAGGTCAAATCAGATGTGGAATCAAGTATACCCCTTTAGTAAGTGCTTTGTCTGAAGATGCCTGCAATGAGATTTAGACATTGGCCTGTGAGCTATGGGTGTGTTGGCAGATGACATGAGGATGTGTTTGGAGGTGATGTGGGAGGTTGTAGAGAAGTTGCAGGTGCTTTTGCAGATGAGCCTCAGCTGTGCTGCTGAGATGGGGTCTCTGCAAATGTGATGGTGATGCATACAGATAGGATTTCAGATCAACGCTGTCCAGTATGGTAGACGGACAGCAGACACACATGGCTATTTAGTGCTTGAAACATGGGGAGTCCAAATTGAGATGTGCTGTGAGTGTAAAATACACAACAAATATTAAAGGCTTAGTATGATGAAAATAACGTAAGACCTCTCAATCATGTTTAGATTAATTACTTGTTGAAATAATAATATTTTGATCGTATCAGTAGTAGTAAAAATATTACTAAAATTATTTTCACCTGTTTTTAAATTTTGTTGTGTGTGCTGTTCCCCTCCTTGTGTCCATGTGTTCTCATTCTTTTTTTTTTTTTGAAATGGAGTTTCGCTCTGTTGCCCAGGCTGCAGTGCAGTGGCGTGATCTCGGCTCATTGCAGCCTCCACCTCCTGGGTTCAAGCTATTCTCCTGCCTCAGCCTCCTGAGTAGCTGGGATTACAGGCACGCGTCACCACACCCAACTAATTTTTGTGTTTTTAGTAGAGACGGGGTTTCAGCATATTGGTCAGGCTGGTCTCAAACTCCTGACCTCGTGATCTGCCCGCCTCAGCTTCCCAAAGTGCTGGGATTACAGGCATGAGCCACCTCGCCCAGCCTCATTCTTGTGTTTACAAAGCACTTTGTAGTTGGAAGTGCGGGTCTTTTCAGAGAAGTGAAATGTTGACAGAGGAGGTGCTGATTCCTTTCCATGGGAGTTTTCTCCTTAAAAATAAGCCGCTTCCACTTTGGGAGGCCGAGGCTGGGGAATCAGTTGAGGTCAGGAGTTTGAGACCAGCCTGGCCAATATGGTGAAACCCCGTCCCTACTAAAAATACAAAAATTAGCCAGGCATGGCGGTGCATGTCTATAGTGCCAGCTACTCAGGAGGCTGAGGTACAATAATTGCTTGAATCGGAGAAGTGGAGGTTGCAGTCCGCCAAGATTATACCACTGCACTCCAGCCTGGCCAACAGAATGAGACTCTGTCTCAAAAAAAAAAAAAAAGTGAAAGAAAAGAATATAAAAGTAGAAAAATAGCATATACAGAAGCCATGGGGGTTATCTAGTGATCTAGCCCCCTGCTACTCAAAGTGCAGTCATTCATGGAACACAGCAGTAATAGCATTGTTACAGCTGTCTAGTGCTACATAACAAACAGCCCCCAAACATTGTTGTTTCAAAACAGTGACAGTGTGCACTTTGCTCATCTCTGCTCCATGCGGTCTGAGGCTTCCGCTAGAATCACTGAAGGCACATTTGCTCTCCTGTCTGGCAGCTGATGCTGGCTGAGGGCTGGGGGGCCTCTGTTTCTCTTCTTGTCTTGTCTCCATATGGGCTAGGTTGGGCTCCCAAGGAGCTTAGAGAATGGGTTCCAAGGGCATGTATCCTGAGAGGGAGCCAGTCAGAAGCCACATCGCCTTGTGTAACCCAGCCTCATCAGCCATGCAGGGTCACTCTCACCATGTTGATGCCATTGCATAGTCCTGATCAGGTTCAAAGGAAGGGGAAATAGCTGGGTGTGGTGGCTCACACCTGTAATCCCAGCACTTCGGGAGGCCAAGGCAGGCGGATCACCTGAGGTCGGGAGTTCGAGACCAGCCTGACCAACATGCAGAAACCCCATCTCTACTAAAAATACAAAATTAGCTGGGCGTGGTGGCACATGTCGGTCATCCCAGCTACTCGGGAGGCTGAGGTTGGAGAATCGCTTGAACCCAGGAGGCAGAGGTTGCGGTGAGCCGAGATGGTGCCATTGCACTCCAGCCTGGGCAACAAGAGCAAAACTTCATCTCAAAAAAATAAATAAAGGAAGGGGAAATAGACTCCACCTTTTCATGGGCGAGTACAACGTTCTGGAGGAGCATGTGGGACAGGAAA